CACAATTCTGTATCTAAGGCTTTAGCTTACTATAGATGTAATGGAATAAGGAAGAAATAATAATAATAATAATAATAATAGTAATACTTAGCCATAAGAGGTGGAATTTTATGTTACATATGTGTTTAGATGAAAATGCATTACCTTGTTTGCCACATTACTACTTCAGGACCTTCAAATGTAGCCAAGGTCATGCATGAAATATGGATGCAAATGTATGCAGTGGCTACTCTATACGTCATCATTTTATTTGTGGATCTTGTTTGTGTGAAAGCTTCTTTTCTTAATGCTGTGTTGTAGATATTTATCAGGATTGGGGACTTGTTGGTGGAATGATTATTTAGAAAGCATATTCCATGATGATATCTGTAAAAAAGTTAGGTCATTCACCAGTGATAGTTTGCAGCAGTTTGTACTTCAGCCCTTTGCAAGGCTGGTGCTCTTGTATGATCAGTCCATTATGAAAAATGAAAGTTTTTAATTATGTGAGCATCAGAATTTCATGTAGCTGGGATAAATATTGCTTGATTTTTAGTTCTGTGTCTGTACCAGAATACTGAAAACTTTGCCAGTTATTATAGGAATATTAAGTTTAAATGTTTCATGTTGTTTAGTTAGGGGTAAAGTAATAATGAACAGTGACTGATACCTGAAATGGAATGGAATTAAGAAATATTTTTCTTTTTATCCAATAAATAATGTTACCTCATAGGTACTGCACTACACTCAGAGTAAGAGAAACTATTGCTGCAGGTAGGCCGGTTACTTATTTGGTCTTACCCCTCATCCTTTCTGCTGGCTCTAGTTATTGAATTATGTAAGAGATAAGGCATAAGCTGTACTTGTGTGCTCAGTTCAGGGTTTATCTTTTTCCTTATAACCAGTGATGTATACTACTGATCAGAGAATGTTTATTGTTAATACATATATGAAAGAGAACTTGCACAAAATGCAGGGAAAGGTTCATCTGCGAATGCCCCAATTCACCCATACCATACCATACAAACTGGCTGAACAGCCCTTTGTGGACCTTGGCCTCCTGAACCAACAGTCACCAAGCATCTATGTCAATTGCAGTCGATTTCCAATCTTTAACTTTCTATATTGTGAGGGCTTCCCTGACACCATCAAACCACCTCAATTTTGGTCTACCTCTTAACCTTGTCCGTGCCGTGTCTGTCATTTTTGTCCTTCCTACCTGAGGCTGTGCTGTAGGTTTCTGAACTGATTTGTTTTACACAGTGAGGTACTTAGCCTTATGCATAACCCCCTACCAGGAGGACCAGGGGTGTCTCTGTCAGGAACCCATACACCTAGCCCCTGTAGCTGCCACTACAGCAGCAGCAGTTTTGGTGTGCCCCAAGTATTTTATTTCCCCAGTATCCTCCACCTATATAGGTGATGAGCACTCCCCTATGTGCCATTTGGGGAGGCACCCGATGGGAGACTGCGAACTCCACATGGGCCCTGATTCACCTGTGCCTATAAAACCTTGCATGTCAAAACTTTTAAAGAAGTGGTGGACCACAGGGTCAGTGCTTGATAAAACATGACATCACAAGAAACCATTGTGGTTACAGACGAGAAGCTTGAAGACAATCAGGTGTGGTTACAGAATAGCCCTTGGAAGTCTGAGACGAATGTCACAAGAGATAGGTCTGTCTGTAGGCTGTGCGTCTAAGGCAGCTGGATTAATAAAGTTTTGTCCATATAGAGTTGTGCATGAGCTTAAACTTGTTGATGCTCCACAAAGGATTTTGTTTTATAACTGGATGCTGAAGAATTTGCATGGTGGACTTAACAGATCCTCATCTTCTGTTTCTAACTGATGAAGCATACTTTCACATAGGTGATTATGTAACTTCTCAGGGCACATGAGCCTGGATCAGTGAAAATCCCCCTGCAGTGTACCAGATTCTGCTGCACGACACTATGATTGGAGTGCTGTGTGCCGTAAGTGTTAGGTGAATCATCAGTCCAGTGTTCTACCATGAAACTATGAAATTGGACCAATGCATAGGAATATATTGGAGTAATTTTTTAACTGGTGATTGATGATGAGAGACCATATGATTACTTTCAACAAAACAGTGATACTGTGTATGCTACACAAAATTCCGTGAGTGTGCTACCAGAGATGTTTGACGCCAGGATAATTAGTACAGGAGTGTGGCCTCCAAGATTGGTGGATCCTAGCATTTGACTTATTTATGGGAAAGCCCAAAAGGAAAAATTTACAGGAACACACATCACACTGCTGAAGGTCTCCAGAAGGAGATAAGGAATATGGTTGCTCAAGTTCTGGCCAACAGAACTTAAGCGTTTCAGAGGGATTCCTTTGAAGGTGCAAGGGATGTTATAAGAGCTGCATTATCTGTAACATCTGGCAAATTTTCATCTGATTTTACCTTCTGGTTTCTTGTGCTACTTGAACAGACAGTTTTCAAGCCACAGAATGAAGGCAGATATTTTAGTAGTGGTTCTG